CTTTTGTAATGGGTTGGAGCATTGGACGACCCACTCATTACGCAATTGGCGTTACGCCATGCCTGTTGTCCCTATGCTGTTCTAAAACTCTTTATTACTCATATTAACGCGATTCCTTTGCCGGCATCAAACCTGCCTATTGCAAGTTTGCGAACGAGTCACAAGCACTGGTGTGGCTCAGCAGTAGAATACTGGGCTGGCACGCAGTGGACCCGGGTTCGAATCTCACAATGTTCTTTGTGTTTCTTATTTGAGTTTTTTTTTCTTATTTTATGCGACAGAGGTTACGGACACCGGTGGTGGCGGCGGACAACTACGGCACCGCGCGTGAACCGTGTTGTGATCTCATACTAGTTTTCCAAGTAAAACACAACATGCCTAAAGTTGATGTCACTGCTTTTTCAAGGACCCATGACACAATGCCTGAACAATTTGTAATTTTCAGCAAAATATTGAAGTGGAGGGTTTATTGTGTTATCAGCCGCAAAACCTAATGCGATCTACAGCAAGCAAAGGCGACGAAAAACTGCATTGTGGCGTCACATACTTGATGCAGCAGGTGTCGAGGTTACCGGCTGCAGCAATTAGCAACGCATTTAGACAACGTACCTTTGCCTGATCTAATTGTGGAGGCCGCGGCCGATATTCCCAACACCCGCTGCGTGACGAAAAGCGACGCCTAAATGCAGTTTTTCGTCGCTCCTCCACGCGCAGCAGATCCCACAAGCTTTTGCCACCAGTACCTATATATATTTAGAAAATTGACTGTAAATATTATTTCAGCCCAAAACAAGCCCTCGAAGTCATGCACTCCATTGAGTGGAAGTGTCGTCTTCTACTTAAGTTCCAGCGGCTATAAATTGTTCGACATCAAAGCCGAGCTAAAAAAAAAAGTGAAATAGCTCTACTGCTCGTATAGCTGACCACGGAACAAAATCGTTCACTGAAATGCGGAAGTTCGCAAAGAAAGGCAAGCAGCTTGCCATGTCATGGCTCACAAGTATTGCTAGACTCTCAGAATGCTTATGTCTTAACAAAAATATTCAAATATAAACCAAGTGCCTGACCAAATGTCTTAAAATTTCCCCAGCTTCTTGACAAACGTATACTAGGATTGACCTACACGACACAGAGTATGATCGAAAATTAGTGCTTTATTAAGTGGTTTATTATTATTAAGTGCTTTATTTCTGCTCTCCCCTCAACAAGAATATCTAAATTATGCATTTCCCCGAAAGCCTTTGGCAAATTATATGCACAAGAATCGCTCTTCTCCAATTTAAATATGTGTCTGTAATATACAACGGCATATGCAAATCCGACCGTCGCACCACTGAGCAAGTCCAGAGAACCATTCCGAAGCTTAAACATATATTATACAATCCCTTAACTGTAAATGACTCCGGATTGTCTTCTGATATTTCTGGATTACTGTGAATGCCATGATTTCATAGGCAACAAAATTGCACTGATATGGTCTTGAAGCTTGTTCGTCGTGTAATACCGTAAAAACTTGTTAATTCAACACTCGTTAATTCGGAGAATTTAATAATTCAGATGTGTTCTCTGGTTCCAGTCAGCGTATTCAGTGTTTAATGGCATAAAAGTGTTGTTATTTCAGTCGTATCCGGCAACACCCTTGTTTACTCTGATGATCCTCGGAGCAGACCGAACGCCCCAAATGTACGACACTTTGGTGCGAAAACAACATTAGTACACAGCCGAACAAGCTGCTGGCTTTTTAAACCACGTTGTTGCCACCCAAAATGACGTTGTTGAAAAGTAGTGAGGAAACGGCTCGGAGTACATTTCGGATTAACACACGGGGTCTTCAGCTGGCTATACACAGTGAATGAAGTTGAAAATAATGAAACAGTTGCTGCTCTTGCACTGTTCTTCTGCAAAATATATACTGCATTTACAGATTTCTCAAGGAAATGACAGTGCATTGATGAAATGAAAATTTACTTATTAATTTCCTGTCACTTCAGATAATTCAGCATTCGGTCAATTCAGACAGCGTTTCGTGGTCCTGTGAAATGCAAATTAACAAGCTTTTACTGTAACCTGCCTCAAACTACCCTGTTGCACAGTTTTTGGAAATTCAGCATAGATCACGACAAAGCACAGACTGTTTTGCATATGTGCAAGCTTGAAGCAGAGAGACATTAGGGGGCATAAGCAGAATACGGACAGAGTAACTGTTTTGTTCAATGCAAACATGTGATGTGGGAACGAGCTGTCACTGCTTATCGTTGGCATGACAGTGAAGCCTCGTTACTTTAAATACGCACGATTGCCATTCGAGAATGACCTAATTTATAAAAGCAGTAAGAAAACTTTGGACGACGGCTAGACTTTTTGGAGAAAACTTGCAACACCTCGCCCACAAGTTTGCGGCCGCAGGGCACAGCGTTCTGTTCGTTGTTGACGATCAACCCGCTCACAGGGACATTCAGAACCTATACGCAACCAAGCTGGACTTTGTACAGCCAATGCGGCACGACTGTTGCAGCAGATAGATCAGGGCGTCATAATCTACACGAGCCAGGTGTATGTCACAATCTGTTGAAGCAGGTACTCCTTTGCCACAATAATGGCAGTGAGTACACTGATGACATCCTCGGCGCTATATGCCCCATTGTTCATGTGCTGTGGCAGGTGGAAGGCACTGTTATTCGACAGTGTTTTGAGCTTGTCATGTTTGCGAAGAAAGATGTGATGTGCGCTGACTGTGCTGTCACTTCTCCTTTTGAGGAAGACATGTAGAATTCCTTGCGCTCGCAACGAGGCTTTGCCTGCAGAGGGCAATGAGTACAGCCCAATTGGCTTCTCCGAGTGCTCGAACACGGCAGCCCAGTTCAGACATGGTACGCCGGCATCGACAGGTTACTGCAAGAACGACTGACTTGACTACTAATGTAAAGATCACAGGCTTTCCCGAGCACCGCCTTTGTCAGACATAATCGATGCCTCGAGTCTTGAGCATTAGCTTTGTTAAATACAACAGTAGTGTGGTTGCGATGCTGTGCTTGGTCGAGTGGTTGGGAAACATGACTTTTTTTTTTGCAAATGAACTACGTAGAGCATCGCTTTTGCATCCAGCAGTTATCTTCCAAGTAAGCAAACTTGCCCCAAAGAAGGCGTTACTCCCGTGAATCATGTTTCCTGATTTACTTCACTGCTTTCGCGTTGTTTCAGATAAGTGAGAATCTCATTTAACTGGGACATTTTTCTTTATCCCGAAAGCTTCCAATTAATAAGATTTTACAGTATATCGTTTTTTAATGCAATGTTTAAAAATATTAATGTCTTCTTTTTCACTGTGCTTTTTTAGCTATTCTATCAGAGATTGTTGTAAAGTGCTCTGCATGTCAGCCACCAGCATTGCGCTCGTGCGTGTTTGCCAATACACAGCCTCAATAATTTGCTGTCATGAATCAATGTCATGAACATAAATGACTGAAATGTATGTGCGCTGACAAGGGACTCGTCTAATTTAATGAAATCGTCAGCAACTTTGAAAATACCATGGCAACCGATTGCCAGTCGAAAGTGTACAAATTGCCATTTACTGGTGATGGACAGAGAAACTTACATCTGTAGAGAGAGAGAGAGATAAAGATACAAGGAAAGGCAGGGAGGTTAACCAGACGCGTCTTACATCTGTAGCTGCATAACTTCGCACTCCACCCGAATCTCAATATCAAAGTGGTTACACATCTTGAGAAACCTCATTTGGGGAATAAAGAGCTTAAGAAGGCAGGGTTTGCATGCAACAGCAAGGCATTCGCAAAATTTTTATCATCAGTAGTGCTTTGCTGTCACTGCGCTACAAACAACACCTAACCGCCTAACACAGCCTTGAGATATCCAACACCCGACACCACGGACCCGAGCTAACGGGGGAGTTTCGGCTCCCTCCCACGCCTAGCCGTGCGTGGCTTTGCCGTGTCCGGGGAAAAGGGGATCCTGGGGGTTGAGCCAATGCTGGGTGATTGGACCTTTAAGGCCCCCCGGCAGAGGCAACACACCCCTTTGGCCCCGGCTTCACGTAGACGGCACCCCTGGGCTGACCCACCCAGGGGAAATCGGTAGTCGCCTTTTCCTATTTCTCTCTCTCTCTACATCTTAGTCTTTTCTCGTCTTTAAATCTATCCTGTCTTGTTCTCTCTTCCATTTACTTCCGATTTTTCCTGGCGGCAAGGGTTAACCTTGTGTATGTGCTCTGTCTTGGGCACAATATATTTGGTTATAGCGGCTGTGTACAGCTGACGTTGACATGCCTCATATAAATTTAGGACTTGTCACGTCCCCGTGTTGGGCTCCATGGTGGGCGGCTGGCATGGCTGCCGAACTCATATTTAGTTTATGGCTTTTTCTTATCTCCCTTCATTGCATGATCGTCCTCTCTCGAAGAGAGGGCGCACCGAAGACTTTTGCAATTATTTCAGCAAACCGAAAGAAACCTTTTCCCGCTACCACGTAATTCACTGTGAAACTGCTGAAAAGAATGCCAGAACTATCTCGCCTTTCGTTGTTTCCAAATGCCTCACCACTACACTTGGACCAGGTTACCAGGCTACAAGAATGGCCAGTGGGGATCTCCTCCTCGAGGTAAAAAGTCAGAGCCAGTATGAAAACCTCTCAAAACTAGAATCGTTTGGAAACATTCCTATCTCAATTACACCACACCGCTCACTCAACACTTCCCGAGGCGTTGTATCTGATCAAGAGTTGCTTGGCCTGACTGAAGGTGAGCTCCTCGAGGGCTGGAAGGACCAGCAGGTGACACAAGTACAAAGAATCAAAATTAGGCGTGATAAGAAGGAAATCCCAACAAAACACATAATTGTGACGTTTTGCACCAGTACCCTGCCTGAACATCTCGAAACAGGATACTTGAAGTTGAATGTGAGACCCTACATTCCCAACCCACGACGTTGTTTCAAATGCCAGCGTTTTGGTCAGGGCTCTCAGAGTTGCCGCGGCCAACTCACCTCTGCCACCAAGTCTGCCACCACAGGACGCGCCACAGACGAGTGTAAGGCGGAGGATGCGGCCCACCGCGCAAGCTGTGATTGTGCCCATCTTGCATACTCCCGAACCTGTCCAACATGAAAAAAGGAAAAAAAAATTGTTACAATCAAAATCACACAAAACATTACTTTTCGAAAAGCCCGTCAACAAGTATCTGGTCTTTCCACAAACAAACCATCGTTCGCCGATGTAGTGCAACAGGGGGCAGCACTACAACGGCCTGCGGCAACTGCCCATGCCAGGCACAGTGTTTCAGGCGGTTGCCAATGCCCCCACCCACGGTGGGAACAGCCAAGGCTGCCCTGCCACTCGTCAACACGGCGACACCCACGGCCGCTGCAAGCTCTTGCAGTAGCCAGGGTATCCCAGCAGCAAAGGAGGCCCCTTCGACCTCTAGCCCAAGAGGACCGAAGGTTTCGCCCCCCCCCCCTCCCCCGAGGTGAAGGAGACCCCAGGGTCGGCCGATATGAAGGCCTCGTCTCACCAGGCGAGGCCCCAAGCCCAAAAGATAAGCTCGCAAATGCGGGCACGCAGTGCCTCTGAGGAGGCAATGGACACCACGGTACCCCTGGTGCCAAAAGATCGGCGTAGCTCCCTGGAGCGCGCCAAAAGAAATAAAAAGCCAATAACGGGGCCCGGCGACGGCCCTGTTCTTTGAGTCTTAACGTTTAGCTTAAGAAGCAGACACACCCATTTTTCCTTACACACAGCACTACGTTACCTCCAATATGGCAACACAAATACATTGGAACGTCAGAGGATTGCTAAACCTCGATGATGTTCAAGAGCTCTTTTGCAAACATTCGCTGAAAGTGCTGTGTGTACAGGAAACTCATTTAAAATCTAAAAACACGAATTTTTTGCGTGGTCGGTATGTTCTCTTCCGAAAGGACAGAGATGCTGCGGCATCATCCGGCGGTGTAGCCATTATTGTTAATCAAAAAGTAGCATGTACACATTTACCACTGCAAACAACACTAGAGGCAGTGGCTGTTCGAGCAGTTCTTTTCAACAAGCGCGTCACCATCTGCTCTCTGTACATACCCCCACACCACTGTCCTGGAAAACGACAATTCGAGTCCTTAATAGATCAACTACCCGAACCTTATCTGGTCCTTGGTGACCTGAATGCTCATAGCAGTCTATGGGGTGATTCTCGCTGCGACACACGAGGTCGTCTCATTGAACAGTTCCTTTTTTCCTCCGGTGCCTGTCTGTTGAATAGGAAAGAGGCAACATATTATAACCTTGCAAACAAAACCTACTCTTGCCTGTCTGTTGAATAGGAAAAAGGCAACATATTATAACCTTGCCAACAAAACCTACTCTTCCATAGATCTCAGCATCGCATCTCCTTCACTTGTACCATTACTCCAATGGAAAGTTCTAAATAATCCCTACGGAAGTGACCATTTTCCTGTCGTTTTGAGTACACAAACATCATACGAATGTCCTCCACGAGTTCCCAAATGGCTTATACACAAAGCCGACTGGGAACAGTTTCATAACAAAGCTCAGTTATCTTGGACTGACATATGTGGGCTACGCATAGATGAAGCTGTGCAGTACTTCACAGCTCTCCTCATCAGCGCAGCAGCCATTGATTGATTTGATTGATTTGTGGGGTTTAACGTCCCAAAACCACTATATGATTATGAGAGACGCCGTAGTGGAGGGCTCCGGAAATTTCGACCACCTGGGGTTCTTTAACGTGCGCCCAAATCTGAGCACACGGGCCTACAACATTTCCGCCTCCATCGGAAATGCAGCCGCCGCAGCCGGGAATCGAACCCGCGACCTGCGGGTCAGCAGCCGAGTACCTTAGCCACTAGACCACCGCGGCGGGGCACAGCGCAGCAGCCAAATGCATCTCACAAACATCTGGACAGCCCGGCAAGCGACACGTCCCATGGTAGAACACTGAGTGTCGTAATGCGCGAAAGGAGCAGAATAAGGCATGGAGGTTGCTTCGGAACTCACCGACAGCCGAAAATCTTGACACCTTCAAGAAAATAAAGTCTCAAGGCAGGAGAACGCGTCGGCAGGCCAGAAGAGAAAGCTGGCAGAAGTTTTTGTCAGTGATCAATTCATACACACAGGAGGCTAAAGTCTGGAACATGGTTGGTAGGATAACAGGAAAACAAGTACACACACTTCCACTAGTAAACACTCAGAGTGATACCTTGGAAGATCAGGCAAACTTCCTCGGTGCACACTTCGAACGGGTGTCCAGCCCGTCCCACTATACTGACACTTTCCAAAAATACAGAACAAAAATAGAAAAGCAGAAACTCGAACACAACTGCACTAGAAATGAGGCATATAATCAAGCTTTCAGTCTAGCTGAGCTTCGAACATCTCTAAACTCCTGCAGTACTTCTGCCCCAGGTTCTGGCCGTGTGATATATGAAACGTTAAAAAACCTACCAATCGAAACGCGAAAAACCTTACTTTGTCTGTACAATGCTATTTGGTTTTCTGGCACTATCCCTACCTCCTGGAAAGAGGCTGTCATTATTCCCATTTTGAAAGAGGGCAAGGACCCTTCTTCACCTTCGAGCTATAGGCCTATTGCACTTACAAGCTGCTTCTGCAAAGTCTTCGAAAAAATGATAAACTGCCGACTTGTAGATTTCCTTGAAACAAACAATTTGCTAGACTCATTTCAGTGCGGGTTTCGAGAGAGTAGATCCACCACAGACCACCTTGTTCGTATCGAGGCACAGATCACAGACGCTTTTGTCCATAAACAATATTTTCTCTCTGTGTTTCTCGATATCGAAAAGGCTTATGATACAACATGGCGCTTTGGAATTCTAAGAGACCTGTCCCACCTTGGCGTGCGCGGTAGAATGTTTTCCATAATCGAGAGTTACTTGTCCAATCGGACATTCCGTGTCCGTGTGGGCAGTGTTCTCTCCCAAACATTTGTCCAGGAAACAGGCGTGCCACAAGGTGGTGTGCTTAGTTGCACACTTTTTATTATCAAAATGAACTCTTTGCACTTGTCTATTCCCCGCAATATGTTCTATTGTACATATGTCGACGACGTTCAGCTTGGCTTCAAGTCATGCAACTTGGCCATTTGTGAGCGGCAGGTTCAGCTGGGTTTAAATAAGGTCTCCAAATGGGCAGATGAAAACGGATTCTGACTGAACCCACAAAAAAGCATGTGTGTCTTGTTCCCCCGAAAGAGAGGCATGCACTCAGAACCCGACATTGAACTGAACGGTCAACGTCTGTCTGTAAATGCGGAGCATAAATTCTTAGGCCTAATCTTGGACAACAAGTTGACCTTCGTACCGCACATCAAGTATTTAAAAACAAAATGTTTAAAAGCTATGAATGTTTTAAAAGTGTTGTCACGTACTACGTGGGGTAGTGACAGGCAATGTCTCATGAATTTGTATAGAAGCCTCCTTCGCACCCGCTTAGATTATGGGGCCGTTGTCTATCAGTCTGCGACTCAAAGTGCTTTGAAGATGCTGGACCCCGTGCACCATTTGGGCATCCGCCTTTCTATGGGTGCTTTTCGCACCAGCCCCGTAGAAAGCCTTTACGTTGAGTCAAATGAGTGGTCGCTTCATCTGCGGAGAACTTACATGTCCTTTGTTTATTTTCTTAAGGTGAAAGCAGACAAGAAGCACCCCTCATACTCTACTATTATTAATTTGTCGAGCTCCATTCTGTTTCAAAACAGGCCTTCGATGAGGCAGCCCTTCTCAGTTCGCCTGAAGGGTCTCGCTGAGGACACTGGAGTGCCACTTGAACACAGTTTAATGGCCCCTGTAGCATACCCACCACCGTGGCAGTGGCAGACTATAGACTGCGATGTGTCTTTCCTAGAAGTTACAAAACATGCGCCTATTGCCCATATCCGAACATACTTCCTGGAACTTCAACACAAATACACATGTCCTGAGTTCTTTACAGATGCCTCTAAGTCCAACTCCTCTGTGTCCTACACTGCTGTTGGCCCTTCCTTTTCGGATGCTGGCCCTCTACATCCAGACACAAGTATCTTCACAGCGGAAGCTTATGCGATACTTGTGGCAGCTAAACGCATCAAACAATTACAAATACAAAAAGCAGTAATTTATACAGACACCCTCAGTGTGGTAACGGCTCTGCACAGTCTTAAAAAACAAAAAAAAAAACCCTGTCCTCGTCTCACTTTACTCCATTTTATGCACACTCATCCAATATGTTGTAGTGTGCTGGGTGCCAGGGCACCGAGAGATTCAAGGCAACGTGATGGCGGATCAGCTTGCTGCATCCGTCCACAAAATCAGTGCCACTACGCCTATATCAATCCCGCCCCTTGATCTTAAGCCGTCTCTCAAACGAAAGCTCAGGGACTACTGGCAGAGCAAGTGGGATACACACACACACAAAACAAGCTACACGTTATCAAGCCACACCTTGGCCATTGGCTGCCTGTATCGAAATCGCGTCATACAGAGGTAATACTAACGAGACTCAGGATAGGACACACATACACGACACACACATATCTTTTGTCTGGTGGCGATCCGCCATTGTGTGACAGATGTGGTGAACCATTAACCGTCCTTCACATATTAATCCAGTGTAAACACTTAGAAACTATAAGAAAACAACATTTTACATTACCCTACCGACAACATATACCATTACACCCCGCAATGTTCGTTGGTAGAGAACCACTTTTTAGTTATAAATCATTGTTATAGTTTTTAAAAGAAATTCATAACTTTCATATCATATACCCGGGCATTCCGTAGCACGACCTCTTCAGAGAGGTTTTCGCTGCGGTGGCTACACAACAAAGCACTTGCCTCACGGCCCTTGGACGCAAGGGTATGAACGAGTGAGGCACTTGTGCTAATGCCCTACATGTCCACCATCGTTTTTATTATCACCAACTTTTGTCATCTATTCGCACCACACACACCTTTCACGGCATAGTCATGATTTTATTACTTGTATGTTTTTACCCGCCTTACCGCGAAGAAGTTTATGGCCCTTATACAGCTGCTAATCACAATCATTGTCCCCATTCCTTGTCCCATGAACTGGCGCTCTTTGGCCATCAAATGGCCCTTGCGCCAAAAAACACCATATATCATCATAATATACAACACCTGTCCTTTTTGGCCGAAAAACAATGAGCAGATGCCATCAACACTCGTTAGCACTCACTGCGTTTGCTCTCTGCTGCTTTCCGCTTTGAAAATTCACTGACCGGACTGGATAATTTCGATATTGGCAATATTTAGTGTCCCATATGGACATACAGTATATGCTTTGACATCTCACTGAATTAAAATCTCTTAATCAGAACAGATGCCTAATTGAAGGGACGCTAAAGAAAAATATTAAGTCAATGTTGATTGCTGAAATAGTGGTCCAGAATTACCGCCGTGCTACTTTTGTGCCAAAGAAGTGCTTATTTTAAAATAAAATCGCATTCAAGTGGTCCGCATTGCGTTAGCGCACTTCAAATCCCCTGCCTGGAAGCGGTCCGTTTCACGTCACTGCTGCCGTGCCTAACGTTGCCTTTACTCCACAGCCACCGACATTAGTAGCAGCAGAGTGAAAGTAGCTGGAGCCACAGCAGCAACAACGGCCACTGAACAATTTTCTGTCATGGCCTCCGAGATGGCGTGCGCATGAATGTTTAGCTTGGTGCAATTGAGCCCAGCTAGGATGGCACCACCTATCTAGCCTAACCAGGCAAAAACTAATTTTTTAACCAGTCACGCTATTCCCCATGGTCATACCAGGTGGTTCTTTTTTATAAATCAAACAAAAATGTTCAAGATGCATTTATTACGTCTCTTGATGCTCACGAAGGTTTTTTTATTGCAGCTAGTTTGATTACTAATGTAGTCGGATGCTCTGACGTCAACGGGACCATTTCCAAACTATTCCACTCGTGGGGCCTGTGGCATGGTATATTTAGCTTAATTTCTCGGTAAATAAGAACGTTGTCATACATTACACTTTCACTCTGATATAAATTGTTATTTTTCTTTAGTGTGCGTTCAAAGGAACAACAGCCTCTAGCGTGATTGTTTTTTATTACTGTATTATGCAAACTTGTTCATCTGTTGGTAAACACTCACAGGCCTCCTCGTACGACAATGTACTTTATTTTTGCTAATTTATAACTACGTAGTAGATGCTAATAAAATATATGACATCGCGACGTTTAGCGTTGGGATTTTAAGATGACGTCACCACCCGCACTTTCTTTTTGATTTTTTTTCGTGGCTTACTAAATGTCTTATATAAGCAAACGTGGCAACTTTAAAATCTCGAAAAAGCAATTTTCTAATCTGAGAGAAATAATTCTTCTCCTTAGTGTCGCGTTGAAGTTATGTACAGCTAGTTAACAAGTATGTGTTGCGATCGATAAAATTGCAGCTCAACAGTCCAGTTTCTGATCTATATATGGAATAACCGTGAACATCCATGGTTGCGCCCACAGCCACTTTGTGAGCCCTCGCCTCCACTGCGTTCATGCTCATGTCTTCATTCTCACTACTATGCTGTATGGTGTGTGAGAGAGAGGGAGAGAGAGAGACGAGTAAGCGCTTTTATTACACGGAGCAGTGCAGTGCCACTAACGGCGTCCACACATACCAGAGCACGCACCGGAGTGGAGTAAACACTCTACCGCGGAGCCATCTAGCGGGCGCGACCACAAGCGTGGCTACGACGACGGACAAACCCGAACCATAAGCTGCTTTGCACCTAGAAATCATTTCGAGAATTATGAAATATATAAATCGTCCCTGGTTCCTTCAATCATCGCTTCCACATGAATATTATTATTCTGGCGAGCCATGCATGGCATTTTCCAGAGCTCGTCGGTCTAGCGGCCTTGATGGCTATGACACTCAGGAAAGCAGTCACTTGAAGGCAAGAAACTAAGATAAAATTTCGAGACAGAACAAACAAAAGGTGTTTGCTTCCTCACAGAAAATCTAGCAATTTCTCCTTTTCCACATTTTATGATTCGCGAGAAAAAACAAAACAAGCGAGAAGGGGGCATGCTCTTGTGCAAGTCCATTATATTCAAACCTCTCATGAATCACTTCTATAAGTTCCAAGTGGTCATAATAGGTGCCTCTGGGCAGTTTTGAAACTTTTTCAGTTTTGTTTTCGGTGTACACAAGAGAATAAATAAGTTAACACATGTAATATTTACAAATTTACTGCTAGGATCTAAAAAAATTTGTCGCAAGAGGCACAGCAGCCAGCTGTGCCTCCCAACAGCAGCCAGCTTTTATGGTGCACTCCGCCTGCAATGCTGCTTTCTCATGCGACTTGAAACCACGTTCAGTTCGTTTCACTTGCAGAGTTGCCGAGAGGAGGCGGAGGAGGCATGTAAAATGTAAACAAATGAACAAACGAAAGCGAAAAAAAAAGTTGTCAATCAGTATGCCAGGTGGCATTTGCCGTTTTTAAGGTCCGACCTTTACATTCCACAGGAGACTTGAAATCATCAGAAGTCCGTGTCCAATGACTATGGCGCCACACAGAAAGAGTTAACACCAATATATCGGCTGATACAGAGAGAAGAGATTGACAATGAATGCAAAATATGCACTTGCACAACCTGTAACTTTGGCGAAAACTTTCAAAAATGAAAAACCCTTTCACTGAATCCAGTCTTGTGTAGAACGAAGAGCTTACCGAAGAACCTTCTGGCTGCATAGAAGGCTTGCCATGACCAGATGGTCCTGGTGTTGAGTTCGAAGGCTTGGAAGTCTTGCTGGAGTCTTCAGACTCCGAGTCAGAGGAGCCATCATGTGGTTGGGTCCTGGTAGATCTAGTCTGCGTTGATTTGGTCGCAGAGCTCGAGGTTTCTGCTCGTCTAGAGTGATCTGTGACTGCAATGAACTTGGGCGCCCTAGAATGACTGTCTCTTGGTCTAGTTGATGCAGCGCGCTCTCTGTGTGTGGCGAAGTCGCGTGGTGGAGCTGCTACTTTTGATACTGACCTCAAGTCCTCAAATTGGGCAGCCAGTTCCCTGTTTAGATACCTCCTGCTAGGCTGGCTAGAGCTGGCAGAAAGCCGTGGTGAAGGTCTAGTCTTTGGAATTAGGCTGGTGTTGTCCATCTCGGCAGCAATCTCGTCAGCCGGACTTGGACCTAGGAGTATGAATCCAGAGGGGCCATCCATCATGGGTGGAGCCATGATTGCTGCAAGAGAAAGATCAAGCGTATATTGAAGGGGTCATGTAAGGAATCGCTGAATGTCCTCAATGCGAGAATTTATTGCTCCTTGAACTGATCGCGAAATCTACTTGTGGGACAAGAAGGGCCAGATACAGTGCGCATAGGATCAGTAGAAGCTTCTTGCTGCCGATCATTTTGATGAAAGCACTACAATGCACAATGGGTCACTGGACGTCCCGCGCTCCAAGACCAAGTTTACAATTATTATTTGTCTTTGCTCAATATAAACACAGCTAAATACGAATGGCGAGTGCATATTGAGCCTAACATTTCCTTCTTTTTATGTAACAATTGATTGAACAAGACTGGCTGGCCTTGAACTTTCTATATATCGGAACATTGGCTAACGAGAATTGATTAGCCACGCTCAAAAAAAAATGTACATCTTAATTTTACTTCAGTGAGTGTGATAACGAAAGCTTTAAATATTTTCGAGTGCCTGAAGAAAAAAAACATTACTTCGTTTCTTCCGCTCACTGTAGTAATTAGGACATGAATTCAAATGAATTAAAGCAGGCAAAAGTCGCTTACCATAGCTGGAATCTGAACTCGAATGTATTATTATTTTAATTATTTTAATCACAAATCAATATGCTACAGGTATGTCTCCTGTACTTTTCTAAGTCTACTAATCTGCTGAAATTACCTGATTGTGTCCCCCCAAAAAAGTGCCCCCCCCCCTCCCAGAATGTTACCCTTATTTTGCTCACATTGTTCAAAGCTATACAATGGGACCAATGGCTGTCTTAAGAGCCATTGCTGTCTTAAGAGCACCTTTTCTAACATATTAAAATTAAACAAGGCAACAGTAAGAGTGGGCATGACAAACGAGTGCATTTAGGTCATTATGTCATTGAACATGCAGCCAGTCAAGTATCTTGCAAAGAACTGTCTACAGTTTTGATATTTACATCCTTATTGATGGCTGCTAAGGCTGTATATTGCTACCTGTAGGCTGCCACAAACCATAGTGCGAATGCGCGTGTGCGCCCGACGAAGAAGATGAGGCTCGCTGGCTGCTCGAGCTCGGAGCCAGACTGGCCAGTGCTGCAACCGCTCTTGCAAATATATTTTTCGAATATATTCGCAATACTTTGTCTCGTTACTCACGTAACATATTTGGTGGAGGTGGAACGATCCCCGTCCTCACCACGCAGCTCCGCAGTGGCCGCATCCTCCAGCTTCCCGCCATGGCTTCCAGTGACAACGCGTCCGCTTCATCATCTGCGGCTTCTCCGACAACCTTTGTCGCCGTCCAAACACCACGTGATCCCGGGACATTTTCTGCGCAACCTGGCCTCGACGTCGACAAATGGCTTCGCCTTTATGAACGGGTCAGTCAAACTCACCGTTGGGACCCTACCATGATGCTCGCTAATGTTCTCTTCTACTTGGACGGAACCCCGCGTGTCTGGTACGAGACAAATGAGTCCGAACTCACCAGCTGGGACACGTTCAAGGAGAAGCTACGTGACATCTTTGGGGACCCGACCGGTCGCCACGCAGCTGCACGACAGGAGCTGGCTACCCGTGTCCAGTCGCCAACTGAATCGTATGTGTCATACATCCAAGAAGTTCTCGCTCTTTGCCGAAAAGTGGACGAGGCGATGTCTGAGGCTGAAAAGGTTGGACACGTTTTGAAGGGGATCGCGGACGACGCCTTCAATTTGCTGGTGTACACTAACGTCTCGACCATCGACCGTGTAATTCAGGAATGCCGCCGTTTCGAAACAGCAAAAAGCCGTCGGGTGCGCCCTCCTTTTTCTCGGTTGCCAAACACGGCGGCTACGTCCACCTGCTCCGATTCTACCGTCACACCGCCCTTTGAGCAGAGTGTAACGCGTATCGTTCGACGGGAACTTGAAGCAGCAAGTCCAGCGCCGCTTCAGCCCACTTCTTTCGAACATACGATACCGACAACCCCCGCGATCTCCGTTATTCAGGCGGTCGTACGACAAGAATTCGCCAACCGCGGGTTCCCTGATGCTTGCCCCATCTCTTGCCCCTCCTCCAGACCAATTCCCATTAATGCACCTCGACGTGACCCATTTGTTGCTCCACGATCTCGCAACCCGGCGGAATGGCGAACTCCTGACGACAAACCGATCTGCTTCCGGTGCCACCGCGTAGGACATGTCTCCCGCTACTGCCGTGCCTCCTGGACGCCGCCACATAGGAGCCAGTTTTTCGCACCTTATAGCCCATATGAAGATCTTCGCCGGTATTCGTCCAGCCGTACCGCCCCTGCTTTCGACACGTCTAACAGCCGCCTTCCTGCTCGTTCTCCGTCCCCTCAACGCCGTCGTTCCCCGTCGCCCCAGCCACGCCGCCATCACTCGCCGCCTAACTTTTCATCGTACCCGACGGAAAACTAGACAGTGCAGCCCCTGGAGGTAGTGCTGCATCATCCCTGTCTGAACCAAACCCTCCATTGACGCTTCATACGAACAAAAATCTTGTCGATGTACACGTGGACGGTATTTCTCTGTCGGCACTAGTCGATACTGGCGCTCATGTGTCCATAATCAGCGTTCATCTTTGTCGCCGCTTAAGAAAAGTACTCACGCCCCCTGCTACCGAAGCTGTACGTGTGGCCGATGGCGGCACTGTTCCTGTCATTGGCATGTGTACGGCTCGCATACGCATCGCCGACCGTTACATCCCTGTTCTATTCACGGTGCTCCAGAACTGTCCTCATGACCTCATCTTAGGGATGGACTTCCTGTCGACCCATTCTGCTCTGATCGACTGTTCCGCTGGTACTCTTTGCTTAGACCTTCCTCTTCAGCCGGATATTCACCCTGAACCTCAACACGGCCTTTCTGCCACAGACTTCCTCCGCTTACCGCCTAAAGCCCTCACATTCACCGAATTCGCCACGACCTCACCCGTATTGGATGGGAACTACATCGTCACGCCGATTCCTGATGTCCTACTGGCACGTGACGTCACCGTCCCTCACTGCATCGTAACTGTAGCCTCCAACCGGACCCGTCTACCCGTCATAAATTTCGGCTTCACAAAGCAAGTCCTCCCTGAAGGCATCCTAATTGCCACGTTGCGGTCCTTAGCCGATGATCACGTCACCACTTTCGCAGCCGACGCATGCCCCAATTTTCCTTGTCGCCCACTCGATGCCACATGCCTCGACATGTCAATACGTCCCATGATCGACCCTGACCTTCCCCCAGCGCAATCAGCCGCTCTCGCACGCCTTCTAGCTTCCTACCGTGACATCTTCGACCTTGACGACCGCCCACTCGGCCAAACTTCTCTTGTAAAGCACCGCATCAACACCGGTGATGCTGCTCCCATTCACCGTCGACCGTATCGCGTGTCCGCGTCGGAGCGCCAGATTATTCAAGCTGAAGTGAATAAGATGTTAACTAAAGGCATTATTGAGCCCTCATCAAGCCCATGGGCGTCACCCGTCGTCCTGGTTAAAAAGAAGGACAACACATGGCGTTTTTGCATCGATTACCGGCATCTAAATCGAATCACCAAAAAGGACGTGTATCCTTTACCACGTATTGATGACGCCCTCGATTGTCTCCACGGCGCACGCTACTTTTCATCCATCGACCTTCGTTCTGGTTATTGGCAGATTGCCGTAGACGAGAAAGACCAAGAAAAGACCGCCTTCATCACTCCAGATGGCCTATACCAATTCAAGGTTATGCCCTTCGGCCTATGCAATGCCCCCGCCACGTTCGAACGTATGATGGACTCTCTGCTACACGGGTTCAAATGGTCAACATGCCTGTGTTACCTAGACGACGTCCTCGTATTTGCACCTACGTTTGAGACCCACCTTGAGCGTCTGTCGGCCATTCTCGACGTCTTCCGCAAAGCTGGCCTCCAGTTGAACTCCTCGAAGTGTCACTTCGGCCGCCGACAGATTACCGTGCTGGGCCACCTTGTCGATGCTTCTGGTGTGAGACCGGACCCTGAGAAAATTCGTGCCGTCACGAATTTCCCAGTACCCCAATCCGCCAAAGATGTCCGGAGCTTTGTGGGACTTTGCTCCTACTTTAGGCGGTTCGTGAAAGATTTTGCGGCAATCGCCCAACCACTTACCGATCTTTTGAAGAAAGGCGTTCCATTTTCGTGGGGGTCCACTCAAGCTGCCGCCTTCTCTCACCTCATAACACTTTTGACGACGCCCCCTATCCTCGCCCACTTTGACCCATCTGCCCGAACTGAGGTCCGAACTGATGCCAGTGGTCACGGTATCGGAGCCGTTCTCGCCCAATGCCAACAGGGACACGACCGCGTTATCGCGTATGCTAGCCGCCTCCTTACACCTGCAGAGCGTAACTATTCGATCACAGAGCGAGAATGCCTTGCTCTTGTCTGGGCGGTCTCAAAATTCCGTCCATATTTATATGGCACTCACTTTTCCGTCGTCACCGACCACCACGCGCTCTGCTGGCTTTCATCCTTAAGAGATCCTACAGGTCGACTTGGTCGCTGGGCTCTGCGACTGCAAGAATACACCTTTTCTGTGATATACAAGTCTGGACGCCTGCACCAGGACGCCGATTGCCTTTCTCGCTATCCAGTTGACCCATCGGCCACCATACCTGACAACGACGCCTGCGTGTGCTCCGTTTCTCAACTGAACCACATAGCCGACGAGCAACGCCGTGATGCAGCCCTACGAGCTATCATTGAGCGCCTCGACTCCTCCCCATCGAACCGATCCTATCGCTCGTTCGTACTCCAGAATGGCACATTATACCGGCATAACTTCCATCCAGACGGCCCATCTCTGCTGCTTGCCATACCCAAACACCTCCGCTTGGCTGTACTCCACGAACTTCATGACGTTCCTACTGCCGGTCACCTGGGTGTGTCCCGCACATACGACCGGATTCGCCGTCGCTTCTATTGGCCAGGTCTGGCACGGTCCGTCAGAAGATACGTCGCGGCGTGTGAGGAATGTCAGCGCCGCAAAAC